CTTTATAGAACCTGGAGGAAAACATCTTCTAAAGATACAAATAGCCCGCAATATTTGCATACATCATACATGCCTAGAGACTAAAAACACCCCACATTCTTGGAGATCCCTGCAGTATGACCAGTTAAGGTATTCCTTCACAGGGCAGGTTGGAAGGACATACAGCGTGCTTTTACTCTAATTGCGTACAAAGTATTACGTCTGCTTTAACAATGTTTATTGTTTTAGACATTATGCACTTATAAAGGCTCTAGTCTTCAGTGCTTGCCAACATCTGCTTTACCATAAAAGAAAGACTAACTTCCCAGATTAGTATCTTTAGATTTTGTCTAGTATCTACGAATATTATACAGTCTGTAATTATATGGTCGGGACTCTCAATTTCATCTGAACAAAACTGGCAGTACGGATTACTTACCGGCCTGAACCGTAAGTCTCTAGTTCCTCCAGTTATTTGGAATTCGCCAGTGCGTCCATCTTGATTTTTTGAGAATGATACCACCGATGTTGCCATTCATTAAGGTATTTGTCTCTTACTTCTAGATAAGAATCTGAAAATTCTAGATAAGAATTTGCTCAGTAATTTGTAGACGAGAGCGCAGGAAAGGTCAACAATAATTTACAACATCTAAGAACTCTAAATATCAACCACATATCAGAGATAAGAATCCAGGATCCATTAATTATATCAACAATTATAATTTCATTAATATTTTAAATGCCTTGGCAACACATTCCGTCAATTATAAAACGAAATAGTCTAGATATAAACCTAGAAAATCCGACTAAAATCTCTATGGTGAAACGCATATGGCTGGTGTGTGGTATGACCCGACAAAAATTCCAAACTTACTCGATTTTCTGTTAAAGATATCAACAGTAAAAATATGAAAGTGCTACTTAATTAAAACTTTGATCACTTACCGATCTTATAAACATTACAATCCAAAGTTCAACAAACAGAAAAATCTTTAGCGATGCACAATAAGAGAAATTTCTTATCTATGCTCAAAACAACCGCTTTGGACAGTTTACTTTTGAATATGGCTTTAAGATCAAATGTAGACATGAATGTCGCATGGGTGCGTCAGTGGCACTCAAAAACAAAACACAATAGATTGTACCCTAGACTTCTCTAGAAAAAAGAAGATAACCAGACTTGAATACTACTGTCATATATTTTGGTTAATTATTAATAATAATAATTAATTATAGTTATATTAATAATTTAAGTTAATAGAAGGCAACCAAACAGTTTAAACTAACTCGAAGATCTTCACCGATTGAGGGCAAAGCAAAATCATTTATATATCATCTGTGTATTAGAAGAGAAAAATAAATAATTAATTGTCCTTAGCCAAAGCTTCGTCCAACTTTGTTTCCATGTCGGGCATTATTCTGAGAATAGCCGGGTTTATATAGTTCGTTTCGAGTCTCTGGGTTCCAGTGCTTTGGGTATTATTATTTGCAAGTGAGTTTTGGTGGTATAAATATTCGCGTTTTTTAAATACCAAGCGGCATCGACTATTTGCCGGAGGATTTTCGATTGAGCTCTTTGGAGATTTTCAATGTTTGATCAAAAAGCAGAAGTCCAGAGTTCAATTCCGTAGGTCCATATGGGTTTTATCTTTATATTGTAAAGTTGCACTTTATGGGTGATATTAAGTTTAGAACGTTCGTTTATCAGCCAGTTTAGTTTCTGTTGTTTGAGTTTTAATTCGGTTACTTTGGTTTCTATATGCTTTTTCCAGGTAAGCCTTCGGTCGAGGTGCATTCCTAAGTATTATTGCATTGGGAAAATAGTTTCCCATTAATACGAAGGGCAGAGATCTCCAGAGATCGAGCCATTTTTGCAGTTTGTTGAGGTGGTCTTGAACTGATTTTGTAGCTGTGAATGTGTCGTCGTTGTGGCTGAGGATGGCAGTGTCGTCCGCAAATATTGATGTTGTTGTACAATCACTGGCTTACATATCTGCTGTGAAAATTAGGTAGAGCAATAGGTCCAGTACAATACCTTGGGGTACACCGTCCATAATGAGGAATGCTTTGGAGACAAAATAATTTTGTTTTATAACAATTCTTCTATTTGAGAGGTAATTTTTGATAAGTGAGGATATACATTAAGACCGAAAAGTTTTCGGAAATTCTCATTTAAAATTCGCGCGCTGTATATTTTTCGATATTTTAAGTTTATGTAGTTTGGCAGCACTGTCCTTAATTACTATGCCAAAAATGAGCGCGATCTGTCAGACAGTTCGTTTACGGCAGCTGTTGAAACCAGTTCACCTCAGTAGGGCGTTGCGAAAAAAACAATGGAAAAAAATATTGAACAAAGAGTTTGCATCAAATTTTGTGTTTCGAACGAAATTTCGTGTGCAGAATCGTTGCGAATGCTACAAAAGGCTTATGGGGAATCAGTTTTATCGAAAACTCAAGTTTATGAGTGGTACAAAGCCTTCCAGGACGGTCGTACGACCGTCGAAGACATTTCGCAACGCACTACTGAGGTGAACTGGTTTCAACAGCTGCCGTAAACGAACTGTCTGACAGATCGAGCTCATTTTTGGCATAGTAATTAAGGACAGTGCTGCCAAACTACATAAACTTAAAATATCGAAAAATATACAGCGCGCGAATTTTAAATGAGAATT